ATATTATATGAATATGATCAAAACATTTATTTCAAAAAAGTGGAGATTGCTGACTTTGCCACGTAACGCCTCAAATATATGAAACGTTATTTATTCTTGAAAATTATAACATGGTTGATAAGGCCAATGTGCAACTAATGCCAAAATATATTATACTGGAGGGACAAATTTCGAGTTAAGTGGGCATTAGTTGAATAGTTTTATTCTAATTAATATATTAATAAATAGTCTTACAATTGGGGATTGTTTCAAGTAAATCTGAATTTTTTTTAAAAATTATTCCTAATAAATATGATAAAAATTAGAATACCTTGTGTTGAGATTGCACAATACAAAACAAGATTTTTTAAAAAGAGTTCAATACTTTGGCAATGCTGTTGAAACTTTGACTACTACAACCATTTGATAGTTAAAGTTAGTTACATCACAATCACAATTTTCAGTAGGTATTTTAAATAAATATGTCTTATATAGCTAAGTAAACCCGAATGTTTTTGTTTATCACATGTATTGATTAATGTTTTTCAAAAATACATTCTAAAACAATGCAGTAAAATCTATTCTACTGCAAAAATGTTTAGTATTTCCAGAAAATAATCATTAAATGTTATTTAATCAAAATTAAATTGTACTAGTTATTTTCCATCATAATTTACATCACATGCTAATGATAACCTAATATTTATTTTATGAACACAAAAACATTATAAATAATTCATCTTTTAATTTTTTTTTTTTTTAACAAATGATTTATAAAATATTTCCAAGGTACATCAGCTCAAAAAATATAATAATTTACTTATTTGTATAAACACATAAATGTATAGAAATTGCTTCTTGTAGAAAAACTTTTTTTATCTTACTAAAATTTAAAACAAAAATTACCCAATTGGCCAGAATTAAAATAATTTTAAAATTATAAATTAATTATGCAGTTATAAAATCAGTTAACAAATTTCTTGACTGCCGCAACAACATTTTTGGCACTAATGCCGAACAGGTCCAACAAAACATTAGATGGGCCAGAGCGAGGAATGGCAGTAACTGCAAGTTTCCTGACAACAATATCTCTTTCTTCAGCAACAGCAGACAAAACAGCTTCACCCAAACCACCTAGATTGCACATACAAAATAATAATAATACAGTTACATAAATAATAGTTATTTAAATAATCAGTAAGCCAAATATCAATATATTATTTAAACCATAGATAGTATAATGGGTAGGCCATGAGAATATCAATAACATAACTGGTACCGTTCCCAAACAAAGAAACGAGATGGCAACATGAAATGCAAATATTTCACTCTACTCGGCAATAAAATGATTTTTCTTCCATTATTTTATTGTTGTTAATATCAAGAAGTATAAAAATACTTTCCGAGTGAGACAAACAATTTGGGAACACATGTTCTTAAACTTACTATCGCCCATCCATTATTTATTATCTATGATATAGTACATACCTTCCGCGTAATGATCTTCTACAGTGACAATTCTTCCACCACATTCTTTAGCATTCTTTATGATTGTAGCAGCATCAATTGGTTTAATAGTGAATGGATCAAGAACACGGACACTAATGCCAGATTTTTCCAAATCTTCAGCAGCGCTTAATGCTTCATAAAGTGTTACACCAGCGCCAATTACTAATACTTTGTCTGAAGGGGAACTCTTGACAACTTTAGCTTTTCCAATCTAAAATTAATATTTTTATAGTTAAAATAAATTCATCGACATTAAATGTAGTATACCAACTAAGAATACATTAAAAATATTATAAAATATATAATTATAATTATAATTACTTCAAAAACTTCATCATTTTTGTAAATAACAGCTGTGGCTGGTCTGGATGTTCGAATGAAACAAATGCCTTTAGTATTTGCTGCTAATTCAATGGAACGTTCGGTGCTTACGGCATCAGCTGGATAAAACACGGTAGTGCCTGAAAAAAAATAAAACATATTGTAAGTGAGGTTCATTTTTTATAACCCTATAGAATAACACTAAATAAGCATCAGTAACGACAATTAAGTGAAAATAGACAATTGAGTAGTAATGTATAAGTTACATATTTTTCAATTAGTTTGGTAGGTATATGCATAGGACAATAAAGATAACTTTTAAAAAGAACATTTTATAATTTGTTTGTTTACCTCATCGTTTACACATGGCCCTCATATAAATACTAAATATTTAAATATGAATTCTTTACTAATGAAAAAATATTTTCAATCAACCCCTTTATACCAAAGTTAGTTGAGCATACTCGGGCGCACATAATTGTATTGTACATTTCAATTTGTATATAGATATATTGATTATTATATAAAACTGTTTATTATTTTACCTGGGACACTTCTGAACAATGCGATATCTTCAAGACCCATTTGACTTGGTCCATCTTCACCAATACTAATTCCACAATGTGAACCAACAAAGTTAACATTGGTCTGAGAAATGGCACCCATACGAATCTATGTTTAATCAAATCAACATTTTATTAATTGTCAGTTCATTATTTCTTAATGTAAAAAAGTAAATACACACTTGATCAAAAGCTCTGGTGAAGAATGTAGCGAATGTAGAAACAAATGCAATTGTTCGGTCTCTGCATGCAGTTCCGATGGCAATTCCAACCATGTTTTGTTCAGCAATAAAACATTCAATATGTCTCTCTGGGTATTTCTGTATAAATATAAAATAAAATTTTAATAGAGAATCGATCAAATTGTTTATTTTTAAAAACATACCACTTTGATTTTGTCAGAGTATGTTGAGTTTTTTGTGTCTGCATCTAATGCAACAACTCTATCGTTGTTTTCAGCGATTTTGGCCAAAGCTGTACCATATGCTACACGTGTTGCAATCTTTTCACCAAGGGTGTAGTTGGGTGGAGTTGATAACTGAACATTGGTAATATTTATGGCAGGCACATCAGCAATAGGTTTTGGTATATTAACTGGCATTTTTTTGTTTCTGATCTGGCCATTGATTTCCTATAAACAAAGATAAGTCTTATAGAATTCTGTACTTAAAAATAAAATAGTAAATATTTTATCATAAGTTATTTATTACAATAAATTATTTTTAATCTTTCCTAAGAACAAAAAATATATATTTCGAAAGAATTTTCAACTATAAAATACTTATATTTAATCATGAAATTTATAAATATTTGTTTTATGTTTATGAAAAATTTTAAGTTCTTTATAGCCATAAAATTAAAATTGATAAATACTTACTTCTAGGACTTTAACAGTTTTGTCATTCAATGGAGTGCCATGCCATTTTTCAGCATCTTCGATATTGACAAAACCTTTGCCTTTGTATGTTTTTGCCAAAATAGCTGTAGGTTTTCCTTTTGTTATTGAAGCTTCATGGAAAGCCTATATAAAAAAAAAAGAACATAAAAAAAAGTTACAACTATAAAAATAATTAAATTACTTTGGTTAATTCTTCAATATCATGTCCGTCAACAACAATAGCATTAAGACCAAAAGCTGTCAATCTTTGCCTATAGACTTCCATGTCATGCTGTAAAGGCGTTGGTCCTGATTGACCCAGGCGATTGATGTCGAATATTACCACTAAGTTATCTAAGTTGTAAACCGATGCAAAATTTAAAGCTTCCCAAACTGAGCCTTCTGCACTCTCACCATCACCCAACAAACAAAAAGTCCTGTTGAAAATTAATGATGTAAGTTTTTAAAATACACTTATAAGTAAATAGGCATAGTTTGTAAATTTTAAATTTTAATCTAAACTGTTTTTGGCAGTTTACAAAGCCATTATAGACAAGTATTATTAATTACAATTTATGTTTTATAGTGAACTGATATTATACTCTGTTCGCCGAGAGAACATGCCAGTTGTTCTGTGAATGCAGACTGACGGCTGCTCGCTAGCCGAGGCTCTATTTCTCCCTCTCAAGATTCACGACGACAATAGGTGACCGAAGCCGATACTAGCGACGGAAGTTGGCAGCTATGGGTGGGTGACGCGAGGAGAGGCGCAGAACAAACCGATTTAAGTCTGACTGAGGCGTATTCTCTCGGCGAACAGAGTATTGTTGTTTAATTTTCATATGGAAGGAAGCCAATAGATTGCAGAACATACTTTATTCCCATTTACACATAGTTATAGTAAATTACGTTAAAGATAAAAAGAAAAAAATATGTTTATATGTCAATAATGGTTCATGTATTTACTCTATAGGACACGGGTTACCAATTATGCAGGTTACCAATTGGTGACCCCTGCTATAGAACATAAGGAAAAACATCAATTGACGTGTTTACTAGGGTGACAATTGAATGCATAGAAAAAAAAAATTTAATATTTCTTTTTTCCCACCCACCTTAAATGTTTATTTTGATATAATATATACTTTTTGAAAGTTATATTTCATTCGGTTGATATTTAGAGGTCGCGCAACACTTTTATTTTCCGAAGCGTAGCGTCTGCTCTAGATAGAACGAAAGTAAGTGATCGAAATTTAATGTATGTTTTATTAGCTACAGTACAATCATTAGGGCATAATATATAAAATTTTACCCTTAATCAAGAGTCAATAAGACAAGCTCGTCAAGAATATCGATAAAAAATCACTGATGAAATAAAAACTTCATTTGTTATGACTATTCTATTGACAGTCCATTGGGACGGAAAATTACCTCCAGATTTAACTTCAAAAGATAAAGTTGATTGTCTAGCAGTTATAGTATCAGGGGATGGTATTATGAAATTACTTGGTGTGCCAAAAATTCCAAATGGAACGGGGGAAACCCAAGCAACTGGAGTGTTTGAGTTACTTGAAGAATGGAATTTAATTGAACGCATTAATTTTATGTCCTTTGATACAACAGCAAATAACAGTGGAGTAAAGGCCGGTGATTGTGTCCTTCTTGAAAAAAAAATTAAAAGAGACCTCCTCAGTTTAGCATGTCGACACCACATACTGGAACTTATTATTGAGAGCGTGTTTAATGCGTTAATGGGAGCTTCAAGTGGTCCTAATGACAAAATATTTCAACGATTTACAGAAAAGTGGAACGAAATTGACGTAGACAAATACGAAAGTGGAATAATTGAAGATACAGTGGCTAGTAAATTAAATCCACAAAAATATGTTCTTGTCAAGTATATCAATGACCAGTTAGCGACATTTCAGCCTAGAGATGACTACAAGGAATTGCTGCAACTTTCCCTAATATTCCTAGGAGATGAAACTGCTAAAGATTTTAAGATTTTTAGACCTGTCGCTTTACATCGAGCTAGATGGATGGCAAAGTTAATTTATAGCTTGAAAATTTTCTTATTTCGATCGCAGTTCAAACTAACTGCTAAAGAATTATCTGCACTTGAAGCCTTCAACGTCTTTGTCATACAAGTTTATATTAAGTACTGGTATACTGCTTCTAGTGGAGAACTAGCTCCTTATAACGATCTTAATCTTTTAAAGGAACTCGATAACTATAAAAAATCAAATATAGTTATAGGCAACGCGGCTGCCAAAAGCTTCTCAAGACATTTATGGTACTTAAGTGAGACACTTATTGGATTAGCCTTTTTTGACAGCAAAGTTTCTTCTGAGATGAAAGTTAATATGGTTAAATCATTAGTGAAAAAAGGAGCTGACTTTCCTTTACGGCATATTACAGTTGAGACGACTGCATTTCAAACAGTACAATTGTCTGATTTTGTTTCTAAGAATAGCCTCATATTAATTACAGCCTTGGACATCCTCAAGATTTCTTAAATCAGAATCCAGATACTTGGGAAAATAACAAAGATTTCATTGACGGTTGTAAAAGGGTTCAATTTCTGAAAGTAGTTAACGATGCAGCTGAACGTGGGATTTCGTTGATAAAAACTTTCAGTGGGATAATCACCAATCAAGAAGAACAAAAGCAGTATCTTTTGCAAGTAGTTAAACAACACCGACAGAAGTATCCAAATCCAAATAAATCTACAATCGATGATTGACATTTTGTGTGATGATTATTTTTTATACAATATTATGATCTGTAACTTTTTTATATTATTTTTAATTATTAAATATATTTTTTTTTTTTTATTCATGCACTGAAATATCTATTATATTTTTAAAACAAGTTGCGCAACCAGTAAAAATTGAAATTTTTTATGAACGTTGTTATAAGATGGATTATTTAAGATGGACAATTTAAGCGGGTGTGACTTTCAGAAATAATTTTTTTTTTTATTGTCACCCTAGTGTTTACTCTTCAAAAGGGTTAGCTTAAAATATCCATGTTATTTAGGATAGTAAATATATTACCGGTATGATGATTTGTCAAAATATTTTCCTACATAGGCCATTCCACAGGCAACTGAAAGACCTTGTCCAAGAGAGCCAGTACCAACATCAATGAAATTCAAACGTGGTGTAGGGTGTCCTTCCAAATCACTATCAATTTTCCTTAAGTTGGTTAAATCAGAAACTGGAAACAAACCAGCTTCAGCCCAAGCTAAAAAAAAACAGGTAAGAATATTACATTAGTAAATCATATTTTTTAATGGTATTTATGGTAATTTGATGAATATTATTACCTGCATACAAAATAGGAGCAGCATGTCCTTTAGACAATATAAATCTGTCATTAGCGGCATCTTTTGGAGATGACACTTTGTAACGCATTGTGTGGAAAAATAATACGGACATGATTTCTGCCATTGAAGCACATGATGTAGGATGGCTGTAAACATTTAAAAAAATTAATAATCTGTTTTATTTATAACTCCTATAATATCATAATATTATGTTGGTTATTACGAATTATGTAAATATAGTTGAGTTTTAATAATTTGAAAGTTGAAACAAAATTCTCAGGGCCGCTTTCACTAAATAATTTAAGCTTCGACTGATAACAGATATTTAAACGGCTAAATTCGGCCAATTAAACCCCGGCTTAACTTTAATCAAAGTCTAAAGTAGTGTGAAAGCGGCCCTTAGTTCTTAGAGTTTTAAATTGTCTTTTAAGTTCAACTTTATAGTGTAGTACATATTATTATAAATAATATTTATTACTCCATTAAAATGTAAAAGTTAAAAATGTGGTTTAAAATAAGTAGATAGATAATCTACTTATATAGTTACACTTTTAACTAAGTTATTTTGTACCTCTATCCAAGAAAGAACCAAATAGATATAATATGGGTATTAGATTATTTTTTCAAAATTAAATTTGAGATGCTATATATAATTAATTTATACTCAGTTAGGTATAAAAAGGTAGGTTTAGGGGAAATAATGCTTGAGGGTAAAAGCTAATAGGGGAAGTAATGCTAACAGCAGTTCATACTCCTATCTTCGATAACACGTGAAATAAAAAAGGTATTATGGTACATGTGTCATATGGTTTATGTTATATACAGAAGATTTAACTGTGTGTACACAGCCATCTGTTGTCTCTGTCTTAAGTGCGTAACATAGCAAATGTACGCTCAGCAGATCACGTTTAGTTCCATTAGTTTAAAAATGAGAGTGAATCTACCTATTATGAATCTTGATGTTAAAAACATTATCTGTGTTTGTATGTGGGGTTTTTATGATAATTCAACTATTTAACAAATAGTGCGTACATTTAAAATGCTCATAACTCACTTCAAAACTGAGTTATTGTAAAAAACTCACATACAAACACAGATAATGTTTTCATCATTAAGTTTCATAATAGGTCAATTCACTCTAATTTTTAAACTAGAGGAGTTAAACATGATCTGCTGAGAGTAAATTTGCTATGTTACGCACTTGTAAGGCGGAGACAACAAATATTTGTGTAGCGTCCTCTTAATATGTTATTATTTAGGTATGTTTGATAGAGTTATCTACATATTTTCCCATATTATTTTAATACCTTGACAAATTGTAATGATTATATTTTAAATTATTAGGTACCTATTTGTTTGGTGCTTGGCGTAAGTGTGAGTATTCAACAAATGAGTGTTGTTTAATTATATTTTTTTGGATTTTTTTCAAAATGAGAATCCATCTAATTTAAGTAAAATAAGAATTATATAGATAAATTATTTTTAATAATTAAACTTGTAGTATCCAAGTTTTTAAATTGAGTGAATTATTACCAAATTTTTAAACAATTTACAAAATAAACGCTGTGGATGAAATGGGTGGTAGCAAAATGAATGAAACTTAACTTAGTCGAAAACTATAAGTACCTAACCAATTAATTTAATCAAACTAAATACTTAGGATATCAAAAAAGGGGCCATCAACCATGGTGCATAGATAGATATGTTACAAATATTATAGTCATTCTTTGTACGTAGGTACCTTTTTTTTGGTAGATAGCATATTAAGACACTTGTAATATAGGTAAACATATTCATAGGTAACTAACATAGTTTTATTCAGCTAGTGTCTCAGCTAGTATATAAAAAAAATCTGTGTCACAAGTAAATGATTAAAAAAAAGTATGCAAATACCTACCTAATTTTAATAAATATATGACCAATGAAACAATTTATGTGACAGGTTGATAATATTTATTAATGTAGTAGGTATATTCAATCGTTACACAATTTAACAGAACCACTATGTTATGTTCAACATTATTATTATGGTACACTTTACAAAGATACCTAAATCTCCCTACCAACCTACCTATCAATGTACCTATTATTTTTTGACTAAAAATTATTATTTCATATTAATTATTAATTATTTTTAGCAAAATTGCTCAAAATTGTGTACCTATCTTCCTTAATTGTAAGGAATATCTAATTAAAATAACTGTTAAGCTACTTAATATACCTAATATAAGCCTTTCACTGACCTACAGTACCAACAGGTAGAAACTATTTTTGTTTTTTGAACATATTTTATACAATTATTATGAAGTAAGTAGGTAATCCAAAAAATAACAAGAATACTGTAAAAATAATACCTACTTTAAGTAAGCAAATTAAAAACTAGATACATTTAAAATGATAGGGATAGTAGGGATAGGTACCTATATTATATACTTATGAGTTATTAATATACATGTACCTCGGTGTTTCCGAATTGCGGACAAAGTGACAAAAACCATGTGAGTTGCGGACGAAATCTAAAAGGTAAACATACGAATTGCGGACACAAATATAAGATACTAATTGACAGTTAACTAATCTTTATTTACTGTTTTCTTTAGTTAAATTTATTTACAATTTATTTTATAGTATATTTTAGAGATCGATTATAATAAATTATCAAAATTTTTGGTAACTACCAGCTATTTTGATAATTGTTAAAAATGTTATTTATTAATTTAAGACAAGGAGGAAAATGTAGAAGGCTTGTATGTACCTATAGAATCAAACACATTGTGTTAATTGTGAAGACACAATATAAACAATTAATATTGAAATAACAATATCATTTTTTAATAGAATTTTTATATTTTTATAAATCAAGGAAATATACCTATCATTGTGTACCTACTGATTGAAGTATTCCTCAAAGCAATAAGAATAGGTTTTCAGTTCTAAAAATAAATACCTCTAAAATTCCAATATTGATCAATCCTATATATTATTATTTTTAATTGGCATCGATGAGACGATAACAGAAACGTTGACTGTTGAGACGTCACAAACATGTTTTGTCCGTCTAAACTACACTGTTTTTTTATGTTTGATTATTATTAAACAAATATAATACATTATATAAATGTACAGTTCATATATTTTATACTTATGATTTTTTCCGTTCATTAGATGGGGCCCCATATAGTCATACACACAAGGGGGCCTTACTGGCTATGGCTAGTCGGTTATATTGGCCAGTCCGACCCTGTAACAGCCCGGAGTCTTCAATAAATATATTATCTCACATGGCTGGAAGGTTATAGTGATTATTTATTAAAAGTAAATTTCCAGATAAATTATAATTAAATACTGGGTATCTTGGTATATGCTCAGGTAAGTGTTTTTAATAAAAAAAAAGTGTAATTTTTTAATGATACGTAATAAGGGTTGATTATGCAACTCGACTGGATTTTCGAGTTTGAAAAACGTTAGCTCATCAAAACAGTGAGAACACTATTTGTTTGGGCATAAGAACACGAAATAATTGTTCGTTTATCTTTGGCTGTATTTGTATAGTCTATACAATAACATGCTCGTGATGTAAGACGACGAAAAAAGCTGTTGACCAGAAAAGTGAAGGCTGTAAACACAATGTTTCACTTTCACCGTCGCCGCGGATTAGGTGAGCCATAGCTATATAATATTATAGAACACCTGCGGCCTTCCGTCGGAGATCACGGCAACGGGAGGCGGGGAAGTGAAAGGAAAACGCGGTCTTCGACTAGTAAAGATATTATAATAATAAACAATAATATAAAACAGACGAAAATGAAATTAATAATTACGAGAATAGAAAACATTAACACTATTGGAAATAAGTTTGACGGATCGCCATCGGAATAATAAGAATTAAGAATTAAAAAACAAGCCGTTGGCGTCTTACCCGATTTCGAAGCATTGGTCGCCACGATCGAGTCGATCCTTAGCTTGTTGGCCAAATCCTTGAGCGTCTGCACGGACGACGCTTCCATTTTGTGGTAGTTTGCCATTTTGCGATGAGGTTTTTCTGTTCAGTGACGAATAATATTAGGTAAGTTACACGTGTTTTCGTCGTGTGACGGTGGCGGCGGTGAACGACTAGAACGACCGAGCAGGACAGCGGACGTGACGAAAATGAAACCGGTGCGAACGAACGGCAGGGGACGGAGTTAT